AAGTTGAATTGGCCCCTTTCCGCTTGCTCCCGGCACTGGCTTTAGGGGTTAAGACTTAATCTTAAGGAGCTGAAGAGAGTTCAGTAGTGTCTGGGAGTGTAGGGCTAAATTTCAAGGGGCTCGAAGACAAACCGCAAAACCCTAAACCCATAAACCCCAAACCCTGCACCCCTGAACCCAAAACCCCAGACCCTAAACCCTAATATAGCGGCCTCGGCAATTAGAGTAGGGTTGTGGGGTTTCATACTATGATTGTAAAAAAAGGGACCCCCAAAACTTTATTGGTAATTATTCAGGAAACCCTCAGCCCTGAAGTATTGGTAACCATTTAGGTCCCTATATTCGACCCTAAACGCCCACTTCGGGAGACTGCCTAACTCCATTTGGGGCACTGATAACCCCACTTATAGCCTAGTTGCTAAGTTGGACGTCTAAGTACGCCCCTATATTCGACCCTAAACCCTAAACCGCAAAATGGCAATGGTAACATTAGACCCGAAGCCTTAAACCGCTAACTATTTAGGCCCCCATATTTGGCCCCAGACCCTCAAGGTAGGTATTCAGGCCCCCTCCAAACCCTAAACGCCTATACGGGGGGTTGTCAAAACTATGGTCCCTTTTTGGGTCCTTGTTATAATACGGCACCTAATATTTAGGGTTCCCAAAAAAGGACCATAATTTTGACAACTACCCATATACTTCGGGAAACTGCTGAGTCCGTGACCGTCGCTCCCGTAGAAAGGCGCTTCTCGGCGGTTAAGGAGCCAAGCTCGCGATCTGTGCGCACGAGGATGCCGCCTGCCGTTTTAGAGCATATTATATCACATTTTTTTTATGTATATACACACACACACATACTATCTATGTATATATATATATATATACATATATTCTCTACTAACATACAACATACTGTAACGTACTACATTATGTCCTACTCTCACAGAATATGCCACACTATCTCATCATCTTTTCGGGTGTCGGGTTTTCTAAGGGCTTGAAAGGGCTCCAGGATGTTTGGTCTACCTTCAGCCTGAATAACCTACCTTTCTAGGGATCCTAATTATGATTTCCATACATGAGTCCTTAAAAAGGTAGGTTATTCCGGGTTAAGGAAGGCTAGGGGCCTTCGGTTCGGGGGGCTGTGGGGTTCATCAGTTTTGGGGCCTTCCAAATTCGAGCTTTCTTGGCGTTTCGATGGTTTTGGATCCAGGGTTTTCCCTGTAACCCTAAACCCTAAAACCTAAACCCTAAACTCTAAACCCTAAACCCTAAGCTCTTAACCCTAATCCGTAATCCAGGGTTTGCCCTGCGACACCACTCGACCCCAGCTCGATCCGAAGGGCACGCTTGCCCCTGTCTGCCATTTACCCATGCACAGGGAGGTGTTTTTAAAGCAACCCTGAATAGAACCCCTATAGATCCCTTTAAGGAACCCTTATGGATCCCTGTTCAATCTACCCCTAACTAGGAGGTGCTTTTCAAGCCTTTGAAAAATAGTAGTATGCAAGATCCTCTGAAGCCCAATAATAATAAGAGCAAACATAAAATGTCCCAAATCCCGACCTACATGCAGCTCGACAGTCCTGAGGTCAACATGAGAAAGTTGCGAGATTTCGACAAGACACGGAACAACATTCTCTCGATACATTCGGGCAACACGGAGAACGATCTGGTGACTAGTGGCTGCGCTCTGGCTTCGGCGCCTCTAGGAGTATCACTCATGCGGACGAAGATCGGTATGGGAAGTGGGATCAAGATGATGATATGGACGATACTCAGGGTCATGGTGTAGGACTATCACCAGCGCTGCTGCAGTACAGTGCCGAATCTTCTACAGTGCCGAATATTGCCATCCGAACTATGGGCCAAGCAGACGTCTTTACTGCCCGGAGTGCCCTGAAACTCGAAATTATCAGCTGCTGAAAATTTGTTGTGGTCATCATGGCTCAATAGTGTATGTCAGTTCTTAGGGTTCCGAGCATATTTCTCGACTGCTATCGCTATGTCCATAATACCTTAAAGTATCTGCGAGTACCGTAAAGTATCTTACGATCTCTTCTGGTAGCCTCTGACATATGCTTAAACCCTTAGTATATCAAAGTATCTGATGAGGTAGCCCGCACCTTTGTCGGCCCCGCCGACGACGGTCCAAAGCCCCAAATCGCCTGAGCCCATGACAGTTTGGGGAGAGCTCTGAATGCTTTCAGGCTTCAAGGTCAAGGGTTTAGGTAAATTTAAGGCTCGCCCATAGACTCCATAGTAGTTCCTTTTAGGGATTCATACTTAGGATCCTATAAGGCAACCCCGAAAAGGAAGTGCCATGGAGCCTCTGGGCGAGTAGATCAGGAGTGGTGATCCTAGCCACACAGGAAGTTATCGGTCTGTTGATGGGCAGCAGGTATGGTGAGCAGGGTCTCCTCGGGTCAGCTCTGCAATATCGGGGCCTGAATATTTAGACTAGCGGTTTGGGGTTTAGAGTTTAGGGTTTAGGGTTTAGGGGCGTGGGGATGTATTATACTGCAAATATAAATAAGGAACACCGAAATAGCATTGGTAAGATTCCTGGGTGGCCGCTGCAAACTCCTCGCTTGAAGTTTGTTCTGTATGCAGCCTTCAGCTTCCAATCCTGGTCAGACAGATCTCCCCCTTGGAACCCTTGACTTATTCGACTTACCCAAAAAGCCCCAAAGTAGTTCCTTTTTGGGGTTCATATGTAGAATCCTATAAGGTACTCCCCAAAAGGAATTACTATGAAACCTACGGGTAAATCCCGAGAAGTTCAACTTCCTGCCCAACTTGCGGGCCTTCATCCTAGGCCTTCTTCCTGCAACCTGAGGGCTCCAAGGACTCAGGGATCTGGCTTAGACTCATATAGGGTTCCTTTAAAGGGGATCTATAAAGGGGTCCTTTAAAGGGATCTATAGGGATTAGGGATTAAGGATTCATATATGAAGGCTTTTAGGCCCAAAGGCCATACTATATGAGGCTTTTGGGCTAGTTTGATCCTCAGGGAAACTGAAACTGAACTCTAAAGAAACGCCCTGAAAGACTCTTGAAACTGAGCCCTAGCTGAAACTGCCGTTTGCAGTCCCATTTAGCCAACTGGCCCATCTTCCTGATCTTCCGCAAAGCTATGGCCGACGACTCCCTTGAGCCAAGCGTGCTCGGATATCGGAGATGGCACCAGTTTCGAGAAGTGTCTTGGACTAGGAAAATCCTAATCCCTGAACTCCCTAAAACCCCTGCGCCCCTCAACCCTCAAACCCAAAACTCCTAAACCCTGCACCTCTAAACCACTACACCCTCAACATTTCGAGTGACTGGTGGTGTTTGCAGGTGCCTTTGGGCGAAGTATCACTGAGAAAGACCTGGAGGCTATACGGGCTTCAGTATAGTGGCTTCGATAGTGACAATTATGCTTTGTGGTACATCTTACAAAAACAATCAAACATGATATTCAGGGGGCGGCTATATAGGGGATCCAAGTACTATTCGAGGAATCTGTGTTATGTCGCCGGTGTTAGCCATCGGAGGATCTAGGGTTTGAGGAGTATTGCTTCCAAGGGTTGTAGTTGAAGCCATTCCAGAGCTCTTATGGAGTGGGAGCCGCAACGCTCGCATAGCTGCAAGGTCAAATCGGGGGAAAGCGGCCAGCCATGAAATCGAGACACGAACATCCAGGAGTGACAAAACATAGCTGAAGCACGGTTGAGGGTTTAGGGCTTAGGTTAACCCCTGAAGCAGAACAAGCCGGACCTTACCTTGGCAGGCTCTATCTGTCTGAACTGCCCTGGACCCCTCACCGCCCTAACCCCCAAACCCCAAAAACCAACCACTGACACATACTAAAACAAGTAAACCCACATCCCCAAGCCCTAAACCCTAAACCCTTAACCCTAAACCCGTAAAGCCACATTCCCAAGCCCTCAACCCTGAAGCCCCAAGCACAAACCCACCCAGGAGAAACGGCACACATCTCTCTCCAGACGCGCACCTGGAGCCACGAGAGGGTGCCGCCTGCGCATGGGACATAACTCGGTATATAGGTGGCTCTGCAAAGAGGTTTGGCAGGGTTTAGGGTCCAGGGATGTCTCGGGTTTAGGGCACCAATCACTGCAGCTCCCTGGGTGCATTGAGGAGTGCATGGGTTTTAAGTATTATGCTCGCCTGCCGGTCTAGATTCTTTCTTGGCTTATGCGAATTGGCAGGTTTTCGGAGGGTGCTAGGCTGAGTCTCAAGAGTAACAGGGAACCAGCTCTACTTCTCCATCCTCAGCCATGAAACCTACACCCTCCCAAACCCCTGGCAATCGGGGACTAGGACATCCTGTGACTCGCTCAGATGCCACTTTTTCTTCAATAAAAAGCAATGCGCAAATCGCCTATGTACAGGTGCGGCAGTTGCCGCCAAGCTGCGTGCGAGGATCCTTCTACCCAGACTAAACCTCTGGACCCAACGCCATCTACTCATGTCTGTCGTACCTGTAAGTAACCTGTAGTATAAATTCTTTGCATCTTATGGCAACCCTATAGTAGCCCTTTCTGTGTGATCGCAACCCCTTCAGGTCATGCACCAAAACCGTCTGCCTCAACGGGTTAAGGGTTTGTTCCGGGGGGCTCGGCAAGTAAGCGATAAGCGAGGTTGCGGCTGAAGGTTTTCTTCATGGGGCAGCTCCCCTAGACCGTACCTTAACCCCAAATAACCTTTCAAGGACTTAGATAAAGAAATCATATTAGGGAACCCCAAGAAAGGAAGGTTCCTTAGGGTCCAGGTAAACCCTAAACCCAATTTCAACTCGCTTTACAGCCGATTCTGACCGGTCACTGAGCCTTTGAGCTTAGGCTGTAAGCTTGAGCATCCAACCGCAGATACCTGCTTCGACAGGACCGAACCTTAAATTGCATCGGTTTTAGGGTTTATGGTTTGGGTTTATAGCATTAGGCCTGGCATGCATCTATATGGTTTGAGGTCTGAGTTAAGGGGTAACGGGAAGGCCCTCAGTTCTCTTCCAGCAGGTCGAAGTGCTGGCAGACTCGCGATAGGGGCTCGAGCAAGTAGTAGCGGTACTCCTCAAGTTCGGGGTTCAGCTTGAGGTTCCCGGCCTACCGGATTGATTCCCACTTCAAAATCTATACCATACATCAATAAGGAACCCCCACAACCCTATTCTAATTGTTATTAAGGCCCCTACATTATGCACTCGGTGCTCTATTCCCGGAGTGTCCTCCAATGTGCTCCGCTGCAAGGCCAGAGCATCGTCCTGGACGGCGAAGGCCAGCGTCAGGCCGTGAAGAGCCTCTCTGAGGGGCTCAGGGTTGAGGGTTTAGGGGTTTAGGGTTGAGGGTTTTGGGGGTTTAGGAGTTTGGGGTTTAGGGTTGAGGGTTTTTAGGGTTTAGGGTGTAGGGGGTTTAGGGTTCCTGGGGTTTCAGGACTCAGGGGTTTTCAACGCTTGCCGTGAAAGCCTAGCCGGCAGGGTGGTGAGGGGATATTCGTGCTGAAAGCTTGGGGCTTTGAAGGCTTCCCAGAGAGCCCAATACCCCTTAATTGAGGAATATAGCTTAAATCAGAATATGAAGCCCTATATAATTGAAGCCATATTCCTTAATTCCCTTATAGACCCCTTTTAAGGAACCCCGAGGCCTTAAGCCATATATTCCTTAGTCAAGGGGCCCCCTGGGCCTCTCTGGGTTAGCATGAAAGTCTGAAGACTGGCGACTGACTGCACTCAGAAGCTGTCTGGAGGGAATGGGGTTCCTTTAAGGGCTCCTTTAAAGGGCCCTAGAAGGGTTCTACTAGAAGGGTTCTATAAGGGGTCTTAAGGTATCTATAGTCCCTGTCTGGTTCTTAGTAGGGAATGGGGGAATGGGATATTGGGACTAGAGGACTATATAGGGACTACTATAAGGATCCATTCCCCCATTCCCTACTAAGCACCAGACAGCTGTGTGAGTATCGACCGGGATCAGAACACATTTCGAGTAATATCCGGCTGTAAAGACAATCAGAGACAGGCCACAAAAGAACGGACGTTAACAAACCGAATGTAGCCAGAGGACTGGGATACAGATACCAAGGGGGGACAGCTGCAACAACCACAACAGTACGAAAATCAGGACGAATCAACAGCGAAGCCAGAGCCACTCAATCGAAACAGCTCTGCACCACTTTACTTCCAGACGCTTGCCTGCAAACATTCGATGGCTAAACTCGACGGTTGTATGCGGCGCAGGGATCTTTGGCAGGATGTTGCGGAATGTAGGGTCGTAGGGCTGAGCTCACTGATTTATATAGCACGCACCCCCAGACCGTGTTCGGATGACGAAGGCACCTTTATGTCTCTTTGCCCGATCCTCCTGGTTTGGCTTGAAGACTCTCCAAATTGGAACCCTGAACAGACCCTGACCTACAACCCTTGCACAACCGTCATGAAGCCCGATGCCCCAAAGCCTGAGCCAGAAATCGAATGAACCCTAAACTCTAAACTCGGAACCCACAACCCTGAACCCTCGGCCCCTCGTCTTCAATCCTGAACCCTCAACCCGAAACCCTCAACACTCAACCGTCAAACCCTCGACCCCAAAGCCTAAACTCTGAAACCCGATTGTCTCAAACCTTGAAGGCTAGAGCTCTAAACCCTAAACCCTAAACCCTAAACCCTAAACCCTAAACCCAAACCCGAAGCCCTAAAACCCTGAAGCCCAGAACCTCCAACAGCGCGAGGCGTTGGCTGTGCTCTTCCCCTGCCAGGAGTTCGCTTCGATAGTCTATCGGCCTTAATATCAGTCGAACAGGGTTTCGGGTTTAGGGTGTAGGGAAGTTTCTAGAAGGATTCCCACAGGGTCCATATACAATACCATTGTGGAATGAGGTCCCCATAACCATCATAGGGATGGTCTTTTGGGACCTAATTCCATAATGGTAGTGTATATGGACCCTCTAGGATTTATTAGCTTTGCAATAGGATTTCAACGGGCTTGACATGTAGCAGCCTTGAAGTAGGGGTTTGAGGCGCGAGGTATACGACCATGTTGTGAGGACTGCAAGGGCATAGCCATGTATTGTCTGCGGCTCCGGGCTTCACTGGGTTCTTTTTAAGGAGCTGTATTGAAGTTACCATATTTGGAATCTCCAGTAAATAATGTGGTTTCCCCATAACTATAACCACAACTTGACTTAACTTACCCTTCCTTAGCAGGAAAAACCAGTTGAGGTTTAGGTCGATATTCCAAACCGGCAGGTTTCCAGGTGCTTGAGTTTGGGGAGTTTGGGTCTGGGGCTACAGGAACCATACTAGATCATATCATACCAGGTTGTAATTACGATATGCTATATTGTGAGCAGGAATCTTTGTACGCTTGTGTGGCATTCTGTACTTACTGAGCTTGGAATGTAGGGCTCTTTGGACTGTGGATGACGGTGGTCACAGCTTCAGAAGCCCAGGGCAACAACGTAAAAGCTCGGGACAAAGTTCGCGGACGTCAGACAGTGACGAAGGAAAGGAAGGGGCAAGCGCACAAACAGATGCTAGCAACGGGTATGCTGGCAATCATGAAAACAAACCCAGAATGCGGAGGCCTAAACCGCAACCCGGAACCGCAAGAGAAGGGCCTTAATGGTTTGAAAAGGGCGTTCGGCTAAGGGGATACAACATCAAGTTATCGAGACCGTAAACTCTAAACTCCAGACCTTGCCTTGTGTCAAAAACGAAAATGCCTCCACCAAGACTCTAAAGCCTAAACCTTACCCCAAAATTTAAATTCAAAATGCCTCCACCGGAGCGTTCCTTGAAATCCTCAGATGGATTCCTCTCCGGGTCATCACGGAGAGTCCTGGCCCCCAAAAGGCTTGCAGCTCTTCTTTTTCTTTTCGGCTTCAGGATAAACCCTAAACCCTAAACTGTAAACTGCAAACCCTAAACCTTGAATCGTGAATCCCAAAAGTCCTTCGAGTTTAAGGTGCTGCGTAGGGTTTAGGGAGTTCATGGTTGCGGAATGTCGGCGGTTCGGGTTTGGTGCCTTCCTGAGCGATGCGCAGGGGTTGGGTGATGGAGGCGTCTAGTTGAAGCATCAGCAGAGCTGAGCAGGTAGACCATAACTGGGGCGATGTATTTCCTAATTGGGGCTATCCTAACTACCTTATTTCGTGGTATTAATTCCTAAATCCCCCAGTTTCGGATTAAACCCGAACACCCAAGCCCTACAAACCCGAAACCCCATAAGCCCTAAGCCCTAAACTGTAAATCCTGTAAATCCAAAACCCCGAGCCCTGAAGCCTTGCAACCCAGGTCCTGCGAAAATCGAAAGCTCGATTAGCCCTACGAACCTCGGAGGCCTCAAAAGGTGGGATGAAGGTAGGTGGGATATTCCCAAATAAGAAAGAGTCCTTATAAATATAAGGGATCCTTAATCCTACCTGCCTTCATCCCACCTTTTGAGGCCTCCGAAAACCCCAAAGACCCCACGAGCCCTATATACAATAGACGTTATAAGCCTTATAATTCCACGAACCCTAAGCAGGCTAAGGCTAAACCCTTGCACTACCCTAAGCCCTAGGCTCTGGGACCTTGGTCTAGTTTAGGGTTTAGGTTGTAGGGGCGGTGTTGAGGGGAGGGTTTACAATCGCACCATGACAGGTGAAGATTCAGGGCTTCCGCTTGCGAGACTGCTTAGGGTTTAGGGTTTAGGGTTTAGGGTTTAGGGTTTAGGGTTTAGGGTTTAGGGTTTACGGCTTATAGTCAGTGAACCCCTAAGTTGGAACGTGGATCTCGGATGACTAGTGCTACGATTCTACCTGCTTTAAACTTTCTGGCTTTTGCTATAGCCTTAATAGTGAACCCCGGAAAGTTGGAACATGGATTTAGGATGATTAGTGCTGGGATCCCCTATACTTTACCTTACCTAGAGGGTCATAACCCCCCCCCCCTTTTTAGGGTACCTAGTTTTATGGTTAGGTTCTTTTATATAGAAAAGTAGGTACCCTAAAACAGGGGTAGGGTATGACCCTATAGGAAAGGCCATGAGGGGATTGATGCTCCAACTTTCTGGCTTCTACTTCAACCCCATAAAAGCCTATGGTTTCTTAACACCTATTCATGGTCTACTAAGTTCAATTATAGCATGGTATGGTATAGTATAGTGCAATATACTATAGTATGGGATCGTAAAGTGTAGTGCGTTGAAACTTCAGATCTGGGAGTCTCGAACCCGGGATTCCAAATCCAACTTGGCAACGAAGGCTTGAGTAAGGGGTTTAGGGCTCAGGGTTTAGGGTTTAGGGATTTAGGGCTTAGGGGTTTAGGGTTTAGGGATTTAGGGGTTAGGGTTTAGGGGTTTAATTGGGGTCCACACCCTCGAGCCCGGAACCCTGAACGACCAAACAGTCCAAACACCTCAACGGCTCGGCCTTGCTATGAGGCTGTAGAGCGCCAGAGCCAGGGAAATGAACAGCCTGCCCTCGCAGATCGCGAAGTTTCCTCGGCGAGCAGGAGGTTTGAGGGACCCTAAACCCTTAAACCCCGAAAGCCCAAGCACCTGGCCACTTCTGCAATAGGAAAATGCTGGAAAAGACGTCGAAACCTTGCAAACTTTTAAACTCGAAACCACCCTAAAACCCTTCTTGTTGCATGTCTTGGAGCACCTTCACTGAGGATTTCGAGGAAGCAGTCCAAACTTTAGGTTTTGGTTGGGGGCTTTGCTTCCAAAAAGGTGTAGCCGAAGCTTACTGAAAGAAACACAAACAAAGATTCAGAAGAAGCCGAGGCATAGGGCTTGCGGTGAAGGTTAAAGCATTGAGTTTTGTCTGGAGTGTTTGGGGCTTCAGGGTGAAGGGTTCGGCGTTTGAGGAACGCCCTCAACTAAAGATGCAAAGCGTCGAAAGGCAAGCCGGCACAGATCCAGGACGTAGGGGGTGTGCGATTGGCCTCTCGCAAGGAACCATACACCCCAAAAATCCAAAGCCTGTAAAGCCCAAGCCCCCAACCAAGACCTAAAGCCCTCAAGCCTCCAACCCCTAAACCCGAAACATCCCCAAACCCTAAGCCCCCAACCAAAAACCCAAAGCCCTCAAGCCCCAAACCCCTAAACATCCCCAAACCCTAAGCCCCCAACCAAAACCCAAAGCCCTCAAGCCTCCAACCCTGAAACTCCTGAAGCCCCAAACTCCCCAACTAAGGCCATTTGGGGCTCTCAGCCTCGGCTCTGTCAGGCTCAAGGCTTACAGGTATAGGGCTTCGCTTTAGGGTTTGGGCTCCGGGCTTTGGGTTCAGGGTTTGGGGCTTTAGGGTTTGCGGCTTGAGGGTGTAGAGACTTCAGAGCTTAAGTCATCACGCTCGACATCGCTGGGCTAGCCGGGCCATCGTCACCAGCATCGTCATCATCTCTGCAGAATAGTCGTCATCGAACTCACCGGTATGATGCTTGTCATGCCGGTTGTCATGATGAAACGGCCAAACCCCGAACCCTAAACCCTTGTCTTGCAGCCGTTGGATGACCCACCCATCAGCAGGAAGTCCCCCGACCCCTGAACTCTGTCGGGTTTGAGGGGTGGCTCAGGGTTGACACGGGTTTGGGACTTGGAGGGATTAGTAAGCCGACAACTGCCAAGGGCGCACCTTTCTGGAGGTTGTTGGAACGCTCTCGACTTACCTCAAGGTCCAGAGGTCCTGGTTCAGGGCGTTCTGAACCCTAGAACTCTTAACGCTAAACCGTAGTTTCGGATCTCAGAGGCTTTGGGGCCTGGCAGGGGCTTTGGGCATCGCTTTGCTGGAGTTGGTGTGTTCTAGGTTTGGAGCTTGCGAAACGTGCTCTAGGGGTCGCGAGATTAACGCATAGGGGCCTAAGGGGGGAGACTGTAACACCGGGACACTAGTACCCATTATTTCAACACCTACATTGCTGATGCGGATGTAGTATTACTGCCCGAACTGAACCCTTCAGGATTGAGCAAGGACCTGAGGTAGCTGAGGCTTCCTCCATGCGCTCGCGACACTTCCCTAAACCCTCGGAACAGCTCTGAATTTGAACCCCAACACACAAATGCGAAGCTGTGAAAACCTAAAACCTCAACCCAAAAACCCTGAACTCTAAACGGCAAGCCCTAAAGAATAGAAAGAGGCACAAGTGCCACTCCAAAGCGGCTATCGCAGCCTCTTTTGGGGGTTGGAAGGTTTGAGGTTCGACGTGGAGAGCTTCGGGGTTTTGGGTTTAGGAAATACGCCCGAGATTCTCCTGGAAAAGGCGAAAGCTGTTGAACCCTAAACCCTCCACCCCCAAACCCCAAACCCTCGACCCCAAACCCTAAAGCCTAAACCCTAAACCTTCAACCCCAAAACCCCAAACCTTCAACCCCAAAGCCTCAACTCTTACCCCGGGCCTAAGTGCTCCTCGAGAGAAGAGGCCCAGCCGTCGAAGTCTTCCCACCTTGGACGTACGGTTGATGATATAAATCCTGCATTACCTTAAGGACCCTAAACTATGGGATTTATGGTCTGTTCCTCAGCCTAAGTATGGGAAATGCAGGATTTATATCATCAACATTCATCAACCGTAGCTCTGGATGAGGGAGGGGGAACAGGTGATCGCAAAAAGCTCCGGGCATGCGCAAGCGCAAGGCAAGGGGGGTTTGGGGTTCACGGTTTAGGGTTTAGGGGCAAAGATGAGGCATGCCATAGTCAGCGCGTCCGGACAGGACCATTCTTAGCCCCCTGGTCAGGTCATTCACTTGAGAAAGCTGAGCATGGCCATGGCAGCACGTATGGTAGCACATACAACCGGAAGGCATGAAGGCTTTGATCTTACGAGTCTGGTGCTGCAATCGGTTAAGTCGGTTTCAGGCTCAAGGATTAGTGAGCGGATCAGAAGAGGAAACTCCAGAAACAGGCCATGAAGATGCAGAATCTTTGCCTAGTAGGGCAGCAATCCCACGTGTAGGGCGCTGAACAGCTAAAGAGCACCTGATGCCAAGATGTAAGCAGTGGGGAACCTGAAGAACTCAAAGCTGCCTGCAAGACCTGATGTGGGGTTACAGCTTAGGAGTTTAGCGATTAGACTTGGGAACCACATCATCAACCCTCGACCCTGATACGCTCACACCCTGCAAAATACTCACATTTTGCACTCCTACACCCTCAAGCCCTAAACTCTGAATCCAGAATTGAATTGTCATCCTCTAAATCGGACTGCCGGGCCGCGTTTGCAAGAAGTCTCTGAGGCTCGAATCCTCGCAGCAGGACTTGACGCTCGTCTACTGTCGGGCTTCCCAAAAAGCAGAAAACTGAAACAACGACAGCGGCACCAGGAGCAGCAGCTGTTGTTTGGGGTTTAGGGTTTAGGGTTGCTGTTGTTACTGTCGCCGCAAAAAACAGAGACGGAAAGACCAAAAGCGACACCAGAGCCCGAAAGTTGATCGGTAGCAAAACGGAACAAGACTATGCAGCCTCATCAACACAGGGGCCTCAATAATTATCAAGAACACCCCCTTGTATGCTCCCTCCGTGACAATACGATGATGTCCACCCCGCCCCGCCCTGCCCCTGCCCAGCCACCCCCAAAGAAACTAAGCACTCTATTTATTAAGGCCCCCGTATTACACAGGCCTGGCCTCACCCCCGCCGGTTGCCAGACCAGCCTTGCCGGAAGGAGACAGCGGGGCTTCTGTATTCGGATCTCAGGTCGCCATAAGGTTTAGGGTTTAGGGTCCAGGGTTTAGGGTTTAGGGATTTCTATTGTAGGAGCCTGACTAAGAAACCCACAGCCTTTAGGATCCATATTGAGAACTCTAATAAGGACCCAAGGCTTCTTAATCAGGTTCCTACATTACACAGCCAGGGACCGGATCTCAGGCTGAAGGTTACTTGAAGGCCCAGGGGACTTAGTAAGTTGGGGGTCTATAGGGTTCCTTAAACGGATCTCTAGGGTTCCTTAAGGGGATCTGTGGGGTTTAGGGTTTAGGGTCTACTTAGAGGCCCAGGGGACGTATAGTAAGTAGGTTATAAGTAGGGTTATAACTGGGGTAACTCCGTTTAGGGTACTTATAACCTTACTTAAGACCTACTTACTAAGTCCCCTGGTCCTTCAAGTAACATTCGTTCCACTTGCACTCCCCGAATTCACGCAGCAGTCGCCTTCCTAAGGGTTCAAGGGTTCAGGGGTTTCTATCGGGTTTAGGGTTTATGTAGGGCCCTACGAGTGTCGATAAGGTTTAGGCTCCATACATCTCCTAAAAACGGAAACCCAAAACCCTAAGCCCCCTGAACCTTAAACTCTGAACTCTAAACCCCTAAACCCCCAAACCCTAAACCCCTAAACCCTAAACTCCTAAACTCCCTAAACTCCAAACGCCCAAAACCTGAACTCCCTAAACTCCCTGCACTACCTCCACTTCTCCTGGATCCGGCCACCCTTGTCCTTTTAGAAATAATAGACAGAGCCCTGCCTAAACCTATATCCCTTCGTAGGAATTATTTAAGAAGGTCTACTAGCCGGTCTGTTTATTCTTTTGGGGGAACCATGAAAAAGGACAAGGCTGTATCCGGCTGCCTCGGCGCACGCCGCCGATGCAGCCGCCACGGCACCCTCGGGAGAGGATCCTGGAAAAGGTTTGAGGTTTAGGGGTTTAGGGTTTAGGGGTTTGGGGTTTAGGGGTTTAGGGGTTGGGGGGGTTTGGGATTAAGGGAGGTTTTGGGGGGGGTTTAGGTGGGTTCAAGGCTCAGTGGTTTAGGGTCTAGGGTTTAGGGCTTAGGGGTTTGGCTCAGGGCTTGGGTTTGGTCTTTAGAAAAGGATTGGCCGGGGCGAGCCCAGTGCAGGTCTTCTTTGGACATACACTCAGGCACCTCTAGTACCAATCCGGAATCCCAAGCCGAATTTGCAATCTCAGAAGTGACATAGCAAGACCAGACTCTTACTCCTCCCAAGCCGTGAAATCCCGCCCTCCCAAGCCTTCGAGACGAGAAGGCGCGGGGTTCTGAAACCTACCCAAACACACCCTACTATAGGGGTCTTTATGATTACATTAGGGTTTTGGGGCCCATTATACTATACCCATAACAAGGAACCCCCGAAGTGGCATAGGTAGTTATTAGGCCCGTCCTCTGGCCCCGAAGATTGGCAGCTGCAGAAGAACCGCCTGAACTCAAGGAATCATCGACTGTGCTTTGAAGGATGGCCTACACCAGTACAATCAAGACATGAAGAGAGAGGAGACGGGCAGACCGAGACGCATTATGTATGATGGCCAGTGCGCGCATCCCAGGGTTGGAAGTTGAGGGATCCTCAAGTCTGCGAATTGAGCTTTGAATCCTAAACGTGAATTCCTTCTGTCCTTGCGGCAGGTCGGGTGAACTCCTCCATCCAAGACCCCGACCTCCTCCATCCTATCCTAAACTCCTGAGCTCCTAAACCTAAACCCCATATTGCTGGCCTTGTCCACTTACATCACTCGACCCTATCATGGCGCAATCAAGGTTTAGCTAAACCCCAAAACCCCGAAACCCAAAGCCCCTAAACCCAAAGCCCTAAACCCGAGTGGCTGTGGGCCACTATCGAGAAGACATCAGAAACCAAGAGTGAGAACGCTGCATACGATACGGGCCTTAATAATTTACCTATACTGTTTTTTTGGCTTCTTTACTTAAGCTATAGTATAATGAGTCCCAAGGCCCTATCCCAATCATTAAGGCCCCAATAGTACGTCAAGGACAACAACACCTACGACGACAGTGGAGCAAGAGAAAGGCAAGCCTCGGTGGCTGTTCCGCGATGCTCAAAATAACTGCCTCTAGCTCTACCCATAGGCCCCACAGTGGTTCCTTTTTGGGATTACCTTATAGGATTCTATATACGAACCCCAAAAGGAACTACTTTGGGGCCTTAGGGTAAGCCAACAGCCCTAAATCCTGAAACACTAAACTAAACCCCTACACCCAAAACCCGAAGCACGAAATCCCATGACAGCCACAGAACATCCCAACCCCAGCACACCTCCAAGTCGAATAGCTGCACGGCTCCTCTCTAAGGACATCGTTTGTAGGACTTAGGAGTTACGGCATAGCATTTAGGGGCTTTGGGTCTGGAGGTTAAGGTTCAGGCTTAATTGCTAAGGGTTCACGGCCTCGGGTCTGGGATGTCTTAAGAACGGCTTCCTGGATGTTAACAACTGTTACTACACTCTTGCCTTCTATTGCTGACCCTAGTTGGTACTCTTGATCTTGAAACCACCACCACCACCACCACCACCACCACCACCACCACCACCACCACCACCACCACCACCACCTGTTCTTCCCAGCGCATTGCCATGATTGCACTTGGCATGACTAACTCTACACATATTAATGCAACTTGTTTCGCTTCGAGGGCGCGGGGCCTCGAGGCTGAGGTGCTATGGGTAGGGGGTAAACGGTTTAGGGTTTAGGGTTTAGGGTTTAGGGTCCAGGGTTTAGGGTTTAGGGTTTAGGAACAAACCTTTCATATCCGATCTGTGACGGGGAGCATGTTCAGTCAACATGTCGTGAGCAGTTGATTGCTGTACTCAGGCTTCTATCTGATTCAGCTGCTGAGCTCAAGCCCCACTATCCCCGGCACATAACTCAACCCTGAATCCCAAATCGGTATTCACAAACACTGATTGGCCCTACCCGAGCCCTAAACCCTTTACAACCCCAAAACGCCCAAAAACCGACCATTCGGAGCCTCAACCTCTAAACCGCACACCCCGCTCCAAACCCATGAATGAGGGTTCAGGGGTTTAGGGTTTTATGCAAGACGTCTGCGGACCATCCAAGCGAGAAGCCCGCCAACATACTTAACAGGGCGACATACAATAATTCAATATTATATAATACAAACCATATTCAAGCATTGCACCGTTTGTGCGCTGCTCTTGGGTTTTGGGGGTTTAGGGTTCAGGGCTTATAGGGTTTATAGTATAGGGTTCAGGGCATTTCAAAGCCTTTAAAGCCTAGACCCCCGCAGGATGTGAGGCACAGCAGCAAACCCGAAAGCCGACTGCGCACCTTTGGCATCGGGCTGCCGCTGGCGCAGTTGGTACGCAACGGTTCGAGCTCGCAGCTGCGCCTCCGAGGGCGTAGGATGTAGGTGCTGTTCTCGTTTGGGGTTTCGGGTTTGGGGTTCAGGATTTATAGGGGGCTTAGGATCCAGGATTTCATGTTTAAGGTTTCGGGTTTTGCACCCCGGGATTTCAATATTCCTTAATTACTCAACCCTGGAGCGCCGAAAGGACTGAACCTCCAGGGTTTGACGGAAAAGGGTCCGGTACTGGAGAACTCTACTCCAACTTGAAAAATCTGTTGCATAACCACATCTCTTGGAGCCTTTTCGGCGCAATGACCTGTTACCAGAAGAGACGGAAGGCTCCAACATGAAAACACCTCAATGCACTCCCGCGGGTGTCAATAGCTTTCCGGAAACACATCGGGTCGAGCCAGCAATATAGGAGCCTAAGTAATTACCAATAATTGTTTTGGGGGTCCTGAGTATAAGTATAGTGAAACGGACCTCAAATCCCTATTCCAATTAGAAAGACCCCTATAAACTATACTAGCCCAAGAAAACCCGAGACCCTAAGAAACAAGGTCGCGGAAGCCGCTCATCATCGCAAGTAAACTTCAGAAACAGCCTTCTCCACACATCTACCCAAACCATCCCGAACCCACGAAGCCCGTAACCCTACAGCATCCCACCGGCGATACATTGCCGCGAGCTGACAGACAGATGCACCTCGACTCCAGGGCTCTAGGATCATACTTGTCTTCCCCAATTTCAGCGGCCGTGGAATGGAATGGAGATGACGAATGCAGAACATGTGGCAAAATCCGACATTGGTGCTGGAGCCCAGCAAACTGGCTAGCTTCGGTGTCACGAGTTTCAGGAAGCCTTCCTTTCGCAAGAGCGACATCGTAGACCCTGGCCGGTGTCGAAGGGCTCGACAGGTCTCTATGCCAGTGAGGTTGGGGATTCGCCAAGTCTCACTTGGAGGCCCAGGGGACTTAGTAAGTAGGTTATAAGTAGGGTTATAATTGGGGCAACTCTAATTCGGGTACTTAAAACCCTACTTATAATCTACTTATTAAGTCCTCTGGGCCCCTAAGCAGACTCGCGGAGGAGCTGGTAGGCTTCGGCCAGGGTATGGCAGGGCACCTGTAATCTGAACAGCCAGCTATCTGGGCAGCAATCTGAGAAGAGACATAATCCAGTACATAATCCTAAACCCTGCACCCTAAATCCTAAAAGCCCAAGACCCTAAAACCCCAAATCCTAGAATCCCAAGTCCCAAACCCTACAGTCGGACTTGCAAGCCAAGAGAAAATGCCAGCCCACGAGTCTCCTCTTTGCTACCTCTCGGGCCCTTAGGAATTAGAATGGTGTCTTGGGGTATGGTATACTATCTTTACAACAAGGAACCCCGAAATAGTACTAGTAATGATTTAGACTTCTATGTTAAGGGCATCCCTAATTCCCTAAACCCTGTAATTATTTGGGGCCCGAAAATACGAAAAGAAGGAGCAGGAGACGATAAGTCGCGAAAAATCTGAAGCTTTGGGGCACAGGTAGGGGTTGCGGGTTCAGGGATCAGGATTTAGGGTTGAGGGCTTGAATTTGGGGTTTAGAGTTGAGGGTTTAGGGTCGAGGGTTCAGGGTTTAGAGCTTCCAGGGCTTAGGCGGTGTCCTCCAAAGCCACGCCCTCGTAGAGCAGGAGCCAGTCAGCGCGCGTCAGCTTCAGCGCAATCTGCTCGCAGTTGTGCCTGCGGGGGGGGGGGGCAGAGATGCATGAATTTAGGGTTGAGGGGTTAGGGTTTAAGTAGCTCTTGAATTCTAGGGCTTCTAGAACCCATCGTGCTCATTTAGAAAGAGTATGATAAGGATCACAATGAGAAACCCGAAGCTTTCGAAAACCTGCAGACTAGGATTGAATCAGAGGCTGAAGGTCTTGTCTCCAGCTTGAGCCAAAGCTTTGCAACTATACACCCATCCTGAGCCCTTGAAGTTCAAAGTGGTCTCACCAAAACCAAAAGACAACACAACCTCTCTTCTTCAACAACTGGGCCCAAAAAAAGTTCAAACTTTCCAAGATAATATGTATATATGTATATGTATTTATATAAATAAATATATATATATATATATATATATATATAGGGCCCAAAAGTTTAAAGTTCCCCCGTTCACTATCTAAGCAGCAGCCCCTGAGGAACCTGAGCTGCCCCTGCAGGCTGATCTCCTCGCCGGCGGAGCTTTCGCGCAGAACCACCTGAACAGCACATAGGGTTTAGGGTTTAGGGTTTAGTTTTTAGGGCTTACAGGGTTTAGGGTTTAGGTTTTAGGGCTTATAGGGTTTAGGGTTTAGTTTTTAGGGTTTAGTTTTTAGGGTTTATAGGGTTTAGGGTTTAGGGGCTGTGAGTTGGTGGGACAAGGGGAAGTATCTCTAACCCTAGGGCCCTAAGCCAGCCCAGCTGCCTGATTAAATTTCGAGGACCCCGACAACTGCAGTGTTGACCTTAGAGAACTCAGGCTCTGGGTTTAGGGGTAAGTTTAGAAGGGGCCCCCACCCTGTAATAGTGGTATAATAGGACTATATTAGGGCCCTAATATAATCCTTATAGTCGCTATTACAGGGTGGGGGCAGCTTCTAAGGTATAGTGTTTAGAGTTTAGATAGGATTTAAGGTTTAGAGCTTAGGGTTTAGGGCTTATACCAATGTATCATTTCCGCTTGGGCTCCTGAGTGTTTGGGGTTGCTGGATGGCTTGCCAAAACTACTAAACCTGAGAGTAACCTAGGAATAGAAAGGGTGCCCTTTTTGGTTGAAAGAGTGTTATCAGGGAATCTAAACCCGGAAAAAAGGGGAATAAGGGCCTACTCTGGGTCCTAGAGAAAGGCGCGATAAGACGTGTGAAAATCTCTATGCAGACCTCTACTAGTGTCTAAGCTTGAAAGGGGCCTTGGGCTTAGGCTTTGCTCTTGATTCGATGAACCTAAAATCGAAAACCCCAACGAATCATGAACCCTGGATCCTACAGTCTCAACCCGAAGTGCTGAGTTCACAACAGACCCGAGTTCCTCAACCCGGGCCAGGTGAACCTCAAAATCCTAAATATTGGTTTAGGGTTTAGGGTTTAGGGTTCAGGGTTTAGAGTTTAGGGTTTTTCAATACTGTATTGTAACCCCCAAATCCTTCACAGAACCCGTCCAGATCCCTCCTTGAACCAGCTTGGACCCTTCTATAGAACCATTTTACACCCCAAGTCGATGTATCGGCTTCCTACTGGTATACCAACAAGGAAACTCCAAGCAAAAGATTCACCAATCTAGCTGAGGAGCCCTTTGTCCACTCGCAAAACGGCCATGTGGGAGTTTCCGAAAATAGGGCATCCTTATATAGTACCCTAAATAGTAGCATCCTTGTTATAAGGACCCCAAAATAAGGTACCCCTAAAATTTCTGAAAGTCCCATCTTCCTGCTTCAAAGTGCCACCGCAAACCCATTGGGGCCTGGAGTGGATCTGCTGCGGAAGTTCCAGCTGAGACAGGCTGGGCCTTGCGTTCGGAGTCAGAGTTGTCGGTTTCGAGCTCAGGGCCTGGACTGAAATCTGGTCTTACTATGACCTGACTACCACTTGAAGTGGGACTCTTGCACATACATCTGTCCACGAATGTTGAGCACGTTTGCTACTCCCACGGCCGTTGCAACTCAGATGCTTTGTCATTCAATGATTTAATGCCTTGGAGGAAGCAACAGAGCAGTGGTCGTCGTCGCGGTGGTAGCAATACGCTTGTTACTCATCTACCAGGATTCCATGTGCTAGTCTCACCACGCTTGCTTGTGTGCAATATCCTTGCTGCTTATAACAACTACCAGTGTCCATACTATTCGGAAAGAACGAAGATGACGATACGAAAGGCACAGCAACACGGCTGCTTGGGTAAGGCTGAAACCCTATGCCTCTTTAAGGGTTAGGGCTTATATAAGTCTTTCGAGGGCCGCAGGCGTTCAGGAGCTAGGGCTTCTTGATTTCCGGCTGTGCCATTCTCTCGGAGAACCCGCTTCAGAAACTCAGAAAAAATACATAGCTGCATCTCTGCTGACATGCCTGTCAAAGCGTCGTTTGCTATCTTCGGCAGAAGGGCGCTTTCATCCGTTGCTGCTCCGCAGAGGCAGAGGGCTAGCTTCACATGGGAATCTCGACCAACCTGTCCCTTCACCCGGAGTGCCCCAAAGGTCACTGCCAAAATAAACCACCGACTGCTCCAGAAGCTGCACACCCGGTACACCTGTGGTACATGCACCCTGTAACCTCACTCATTCCTAAACAATTAATAAACTCTAAAAGCCCTAAACCCTAAAAGCCCTACACCCTAAACCTTGAACCCTAAACAATGCCCTAAAACCCTAAACCCTACAGGCCCAAAGCCAGATCAGTCCAGGTGCGAGTCGAAGGAGGACGCTTTCGGAGTCCTTGTCCTCCTGTGTAAGGGCTTTTTTCGCGCAGGCCAAGCTACTTCCGAACATGGGCCTGCGGAGCCTTACGGTAGTGTACCCCATAGCACCGTATAATATTATAAGCTTATGAACTGATATAAAAACATAAGAAGAGGTAAGGCCAGATAAGATAAGACAGATAAGATAAATACGCTGTGATAAGATATGATATGATATGATGTGTTATGATATGATATGATATGACATGACATGACATGACATGACATGACATGACATGATATGATATGATATGATATGATGTGACATGACATGATATGATATGATATGATATGAAATGAGATGATATGATATGATATGATATGATATGGTATACACACCAAGTCCGATAAACGCCTAGATTACAAAACACCATTAGAGAAGCCCCTGAAGGAACCCCAAAAAAGTAAATGCGTAGCTTGGCACTAGATGGGTGGGATGGGTTGGTTCTTCGGTTGGGGAGGGGGCGGGGGGAGTTCAGGTTCGGGGTTTAGGTTTAATGTTGTTAGGCTAAGGGGTTCTGCTTCATCGCAGGCCTCTCTTCGGGGCTGCGTGTCTGAGATGCAGGCAGCTGAAGCTTTTCTCGGGGACTTCGGGGTTTGCAGCACTAGCAGAATGATGCTGATGACGATGATGACAATTATGTTGATGATGATCATCATCATGAGGAAGAAGCTGATGTTCATCATGCGGTTGGCGGCCATTGATTTTGGAAGCGGCTCTTGCTTTTGAGATTCCTGTCTATCTTACACTTACTACTCTTACTACACTGCTTTGGGATACTTATCATTGCTTGTACTACTACTGTAATATTGCTAGTATCGCCAGCTTTTACTATGACTGCTACCATTACTATTATTCCTAATATTGCTATGTTCACCGTTAGTTCTGCCACTACTATGGTTACTAACTCTGCTGCTTATGGTACTTCTATCGTTTCTATTGGTACTGTTATTAGGTACCACGTTTACTATTCTTGCGAATATTCTGAATAAACCTAGTATCATTATCAGTTTTGTAACTTCGATTGTCGTTATCATCATCATTATCAGATGTAATCGTCGCCGTAGCCGTATATAGTATCGCAGTTGAAATTATCGCTCTCTTCTGGTTATTACTATCCTTACTGCTACTACCTACTGCCCTTACCGATACTCTTCTTACTGGTATTGCTACTTGTAACCATGACTCTTAGTGTCATTGCTCGTGAACGGTTGCCATTTACTGTTACTCCTCATGAGATCCTTCTTATTCTTGTCATTATTGATAGTCTTCTTAATATTCTCAAACTACTTACGATTGAATATTTTGATGTTCCTGCTACTATTCAAGTTGTTTATGATTATAAACCCTGAACCCTAAACCCCTAAACCCTAAACCTTACGCCGGTGAGTCTTGATGTTCCTGTCACTATTCAAGTTGTTTATGAGTGATCCCTTATCGAACCCTTTTGGATCCCTTTAAAGGAACCCTTATTATAGATCCTTTTAAAGGACTCTGCTCCCCTTTAAAGGAAGCCTTTTAGACCCTTTTAAAGGAGCCCCTACCCCCCTTTGATGTTCCAGGCCTCTGCCGCCTCTTCGGCCGGCGCTGTTGCCGGCTTTGCGGCTTTCGACGCCTCCTCCTGGCCGCTTCAGCGGGGGCAGAGGGCTTTTGGGGTTTTGGGGTTTAGGGTTTAGGGGTTTAGGGGTTTAGGGGTTTAAGAGTTTAGGGTTTAGGGTTTGGGGTTGAAGGGTTCCTTTCCAAGGCTACTTAGGTTTCAGGGCTGAGGGTCTAGGGTTTTCTTGCACTCCTGTAAAACTTACACGGGTTTTGTACTAGTATGAGGAAGCTTAGGGTTTTGCGGCTTTGCGGCTTTATGGGGTTCTATATAATTAAGGCTACTAGAAGCGTCTCTACATAAGAATAAGGGCGTAGGGTTTAGGGTGTTGAGGCTGTTTATTGGATTCCCATAATTAAAGGTTCCGATACGGATGCGATTGAAAGTTTAGGGTCTAGTACATCGAATGCAGGACTCAAAAGCTTTTTCACTTGTCGGTGGCATCGCCCAACAACAACCCTTCAAGGCGGCCTTGGTTTCAGTGTTCGAGGCTTTGGCGAAGCTAGCTGTGGTGGAAGGCCGAGATCAGCAGCGTTAAGAGATTCTGGCTTAGGATGTAGGGTGAACGTGTAGGGCTTCGGACATGAAGTTCTGCGTTTAGGGCTTAGGCTAGGGCTTTTGAGCTAAGTTTAGTACATTAGGGTTTGGGGCTGAGGACTTAGCATGCACGGTTTTGGCTTTAGGCTTGAGGGCTCAACGGGATGACCAGGTTTTAGGGTGTATTCATCGGGGTTTGGTGTTCGAGGGTTCGCCTACTGGGTTAGACTCTTCGCACAGAGCGAGAATATGTGGCATTCTGCCGGGGGTGGGTTCCCTCATAAACCTTAACCTATAATCTTTACCAGCCCTAAACCCTTCAAACCTGAATTCGCACAAAACCAGCTCCTCTGCGTCGGCTGTACGGCTCAGGCGCAAAGCCAAGTCCATCTGCTCCGCAAAGGACATCCTTCCACGAAGACTTCGGGATTCATGGTTGCGGGGCCTAGGTTACGAGTTAATACGTGCAGGGTTTTAGAACTTAGTGCCCTGCATTTAAAGCTTAGGATTTAGATCCTTAAGGGTTTACGCTTAAGGTGGACCATGGCTCCTAATTTTAGACCTCCAAGTCTTCCTTATAAACAGATTTCTAAATCCTCAGGTCTACCGACCCCAGAATGGATCCCTGAACGTTTTGAAACCCCCATCAGCCTTCGTGGCACATGGGGCTTTTGCGAGGGTACAAAACCTCACATCCCACACGACTCCTACAACACCCTCAAAATCGCACCGACAAGTCCTTGAGTCCTTGCGGCCCGCTGAGCTCAAAAGACACGGAATCCTTAATGTACCTACACTTGGTCCAGGTTTAGGTTTTAGGGATTACATTGCTTTAAGGTTACGGCGAGGATGGCCCTTGCCAATTTTTTAGGTGATTGCCCGACTATAGAACAACATACCGAAACACTTTATCATGCAGAACAGAACCTAATTATCTTGCTTGCTGCAATTCTTAGAATTACTATATCAGGATGGCAGGAACCTCATTCGGTGGGATTCAGAGAACGACTGCCCATTATGGCCAACTGCCCCGCCGCAACCTTGACCCAGTACGTAGACTAGACCTCAATTACTGATAAAGTAGTGGCAGAATGAAGTCGTTGTTTCTGTCACGTTGCGGCGTCAAGTGCTAAGCTCAGACTGCTGCTCACAGCATGCCTTCCTTGCCCACGCTGCAGAACTTTCTCGTGGTTCACGCTCTTAGCCTGAAGACGAAGTAGGCGCATTTATGGCAAAGTTTCAATGCCAAAATTTGTTTCGCTTCCTCGGTTCTTGAAGTCCAGACAAATCGCTAAAGTCGCTGTGCATATCTCACTCAAGATTTGGAAGAGAAAAATCATCAAAAGCGCCAAAACAGCAACGGGTTGACGTTGGAGTTCTGCACGTCACGGTTTGCCGGTGAGCTGTCTTGAATGGGCTTCGCATCGTCTTCGCTCAACAGCGCAATGTCACTCTTCAGCTTTGCATTGTCCTCCGTCAGCAATGCAGTCTGTTGACGCAAAGAACGAGTGTCCTCCTTGAGCCGGGCATTGTCTTGTCTCAGCAATGGAATATCCTTCTTCTCTAGCCTAGCAGTGGCCTGCTTCAGAAAGGTGTTCTCGACAGTCACAGCCTTTTCGCTCCGTAAGGCTTGCCGATATTTGGCTCTGAGTCGCGAACTGTTTGCACCCCACTTGACACTGTCCTCCTTCAAGCACAGATTGTCCTCCGTCAGCAATGCAGTCTGTTGACGCAAAGAACGAATGTCCTCCTTGAGCCGGGCATTGTCTTGTCTCAGCAATGGAATATCCTTCTTCTCTAGCCTAGCAGTGGCCTGCTTCAGAAAGGTGTTCTCGACAGTCACAGCCTTTTCGCTCCGTAAGGCTTGCCGATATTTGGCTCTGAGTCGCGAACTGTTTGCACCCCACTTGACACTGTCCTCCTTCAAGCACAGATTGTCCTCCGTCAGCAATGCAGTCTGTTGACGCAAAGAACGAATGTCCTCCTTGAGCCGGGCATTGTCTTGTCTCAGCAATGGAATATCCTTCTTCTCTAGCCTAGCAGTGGCCTGCTTCAGAAAGGTGTTCTCGACAGTCACAGCCTTTTCGCTCCGTAAGGCTTGCCGATATTTGGCTCTGAGTCGCGAACTGTTTGCACCCCACTTGACGCTGTCCTCCTTCAAGCACAGATTGTCCTCCGTCAGCAATGCAGTCTGTTGACGCAAAGAACGAATGTCCTCCTTGAGCCGGGCATTGTCTTGTCTCAGCATTGGAATATCCTTCTTCTCTAGCCTAGCAGTGGCCTGCTTCAGAAAGGTGTTCTCGACAGTCACAGCCTTTTTGCTCCGTAAGGCTTGCCGATATTTGGCTCTGAGTCGCAAACTGTTTGCACCCCGCTTGACACTGTCCTCCTTCAACCACAGATTGTCCTCCGTCAGCAATGCAGTCTGTTGATGCAAAGAACGCATGTCCTCCTTGAGCCGGGCATTGTCTTGTCTCAGCAATGGAATATCCTTCTTCTCTAGCCTAGCAATGGCCTGCTTCAGAAAGCTGTTCTCGACAGTCACAACCTTTTTGCTCCGTAAGGCTTGCCGATGCTTAGCTCTGAGTCGCGACCACCATACATTGTTCGCACCACGCATGCCCAAGCAAAGCACACTGAAACCAACACCAACCAAACTGGCGCATGGAACCGTACTAATTCTGGAGTCAATTCTGCTGATAGCTGGTTGGCCCCGGCGAGATTGGACTCCAGCGCAGCAACCTTTTCCTGCTGTTCAGACAGCTTCTTCTCATAGATGTCTCGCTCCTGTACCACACGTCTCTCTGCTGCAGCGGCTTCAAGCTTCAATTCATCAATGGATTTCTGTGCCTTTTGCAGTTGACATTCTTTGTCACCAAACAGGAAGCTCCGCGACAGTTTCGTCAACTCTTCAATCACCGACATGGGTTGGAATTCAAACGTACAAGGCACACCGATGTACGTCAGGACATAAGCTGCTCCGCGTCCGAGGGGCACAACCGTATGGCCATACACGAATTGCGCCGTTCCACGTCCAAGCACAAGGTACACCTGGAGAATGTATTTGAGCCCGCTTGCCGAGTCCTTCTCGCGGAAAACGGACTGCACTCCCAGCAAGGCAGCATAATCTACCCACGCAAGCCCGGGTAAAACTGCAAAAGGATTGAAAGCTCCCAAACTAAATGCCGCTGTCTTTCCGACTGAAGCTGCAACTTGTGCACATCCAGCAACATGCCCCAAGCCATTCACCGCTGTTTGCCTGGCTGGTGCAAGTGCGGGCGCCGCACGAGCCATTGTGTCACGCAAACATCGCAGCATGATGAGGGGGCTGTTCCAGCGTTGACAAAATTATGTAACATGTCTGCCTTTTTGCATGTGCTTCCTATAAGACGGCATGCTACAAGCAGTTCGGCAATCAGCGCACCTGCCGCAAACCGTGCCGAGTTGATAGATGTGATAGGCAAACTTGCCGCTACTTTTGAACAAGCTCGAAGCAATGAAACTCACGAAAGCGCAGAAGAACAGAGATGGCTGCAGCAAAGAGTTGTAATGTGCGGCTTTGAATAAGCCAGGCTGCCCATGCCACGACATATTCAAAGCTTTTCGAGCCAATCGTGAACCGTGATGCAAGCTAGGCCAATGATTGTATGTGGCTTTGGCCATGGTATTGCTTAGATGGCTTCTTCAGGGGTCTCTCCTAATTTCTGTATCCCAATCCTACTAGGCATTATCGGAGGTCGCGTGTTCAGTTCCTCTCTGGATACACCTGCATTTTGCCTAGAACTCTGCGTTGTTGATTTAGTTGCGCGCTTTTGCGTATGAACTGATCGCTGCTCTTCTGGGAGATCTTGCCGTCTCGCAGAACCTGGTGGAAACCGGAAACTGCTGACTGATGACTGCGATGATCCACCCTCTTGAAACTTCCTGGGTCTGCCTCTTCTCCTCTTGGTTCGCGGGTTGTTTCTGGTGCTACACTGCGAGCTCGCGAGGCTTGTGCCGCAGCATCGCGGACGCACGTGTGTTGTTGAACCGCTGATTTTAGTGGTTGTTGTGTAGCCTCTGCGTTTGGTTGATAGGGTCGTAAAACTGCTGAAGGTGGCAGTTGTGCAATATGTACTGATGGGCTGAGGTGTGCTCTCCATAGGTTGTTGACTGGGTTTGGCGGTGCGTCGAAATCAACAAGGGCAGAAGTTGTGCCAACACCCTTCTCATGACAGCATCACCTACACAGCTTAGAACTGGTTCTGCCAGTCCTCTGCTTGCAAATCTCGCTTCATCGCAACCTGGCGCTAAGCCACTAGCAACATCCCTGCCGAAATCGATTGTACCTCTTGCCAGTGTTCTTCATTCACCTTCTCCACGCTCTTGGTATTTTGTACTTGTCGTTGTGGCACCTGTGTTTCGTCCTGTTGGTTCACTCGCTGCACATGATTAGTCTGCTTTCTTAACATTCCATCTATCTCTACAACGTCAACAGAACCTTCGCTACTACCTCCTAACGTTCTTCCGGTGAAGTCAGCATCTTCACGTTCTGCAAACAGAGCTCTACGGCCTCTCCACAGCATCGCGGCTTGGCGTCGCAGCTGCTGGCGCAGACGCCTCAGCCGCCGCCTGCAGGCAGAGGGCACAGGCTCGTCCTCGGCTTCTGGTTTTCGAGTCTAGTCTAGGGCTTCTGCTAACATAGACCGACAAAAGCAGGCTCTGCTCGGCACGCATTGATGTGCTCTTGGCCATCTCCGATCCTATGCTGCGCCACTGTACTTTCTAAAAAGTCCACCTGGCTGGGTGGCTGACTCACTCACTCACTCGTTCGTTCCGACCCACCCACCCACCAAGCCACCCACCCACCCACCCACTGTCGCACTGAGCCACTCACTCACTACCTTCCTACCTAGTTACGCAAGCAAGCAACCGACCAACCAACCAACCAAACCAACCGACCAATAGCCTGCGTATCGATCTAGTTCATATTAAACTTCTTGGTTGTTTATACCTGTGTTCATTCACACATATACGTATGTATCTAAAAACTATCTGTGCATGTATTTATTATCTGCTTGCGTATCCATGTGCTCTTTCTACGAGGAAGTGTAGCCGTCTGGCCGAGCTTCTCAGTACTTATTGGGGAATTGTGATTGCAAAACTAGCTCCAAGGTCCGGCAAGACTTTTCGTCGCAACGCTTCAACACTGGCTTCAAGGCCTGGTCTACGCTTTCTTACGTAGGATCCCGGCTTGGAGCTGTTCTCTGCAATCAGCCGAAACTTCGTTGCTTATGTGTTGGTTGTTATGCAGATACGTGTAGACATACAGACAAAGAGACAGGCCGAGGGACGGACAGACAGACAGACAGCCAGCCAGCCAGACAGATACATACGTACATGCCTGCTCTAATGCTGAACCCTTCACCCCAAGGCACGGAAGCCAGGGTCTTGCCTGAAGCCGCTGATCCCTGGCGGTGGGAGCCAGGGCAGCGAGTGCCTCCATGGTGCGGAGTTCGGGTTTTTCGGGGTTGGCATACGGTGTCAGAAGGTCAAGCCACAAGGGTTTAGGGTGGTGACAATCTATACCCTAAGCCTTCACAGTCCATACGCAGCAACTCGGCCCCAAATGGGAACCTGTGAAATCTAGGATTGGAACTCGGAGGCCAAAGCCTTATAATTAGAAAGTGTAATGGGAATACAATACTCTGAAATCTCAAGCTTGATTCCGCCATGTTGGGAAGGATTTGCAGAGCTAATTCAAAAAGGGTTTTGGGGTGTATGTATATACATATACCGTATACGTGTATGGGGACGATAAGGGGATAACATTGCTAGTTACTCTCTCTTCTATACTCATAACCGCAGCAAAGCCAAGCTTCAATCTTGACTCCCAAAACTCTCGAAAACGACCAGGTTTAGGGCTCCCCCGGGATAGGGTTTGGGGGTCGTCGGACAGGGCTTTGGGTTTCTGGGGCTTCGGTTCTGAGAGCACTAGAACAGAAACGACTACAAGGCAAACAGTCTAGATTAAACCCGGTAACTGCCTAAAGACATTCCAATTCGCCTAGCGGATGTGCCGACCCACGAAGCAAACCCAGGCTCTAGACAGAAAGCCTCAAGCAGTAGACTGCCACAAACTCGAAGCTGAAAATGAAGAAGCGAACCTCCAAGTAGCTGCGATACCCACAGTTCAGGGTTGAAGGTTTAGGGGTTTAGGCTTTAGGGGTTTAGGGTTATTTAGGGTTTAGGGTTGAGGGGTTTAGGGTTTACATTCGCAAGAGCCCACATTAGGACTAGTCGGTTGAAACCTCTTGCACATCGGGATCGTCCACAAAAAAACGCCAGACCCGAAGCCCTAAACCCTCAACTGCACAAGCCCCGATATAGGGGCCTTAATCACTGGAATAGGCTCTTGGGGTTTCTTCTCGTAAAATCATGAGGCGGTTATCCGTTGGTTCTATTCTCAAGTATCTCGGCCCCTATAGTAACCAGTTTGGGGCAAGCGTGAGCTCCAAGCGTTTTGTGGCAATGTTCAGCCCCGCGGGGGCCTCATCTGCCTCGACTGCCTCAGCGACACCTTCCCAGCAGGCGGATTCAGATGAGTGCCCCGTCGGGCTTTCTGATGATTATGGTTTAAACTGTCAGGGTTTAGGAAAGTTGAGGATATACTGGCCTAGTTTGGTAAAAGGATAGAAAGGTCATTGCTTGTATCTTGCAAGAAGTGATACGTCTGCAGCAGTTCGGGCCAGGCGGATGCAGTCATAAAGCGATCCAGCTCACACAGAGATTACTTGTAGGGATCATGGATGCATAATGACAGCCGGCGGTTTGGGCTTAGGTGTTTAGGCTTTTCGAATTAAGGGGTGCCTGGTGACAGATGAACTATACTGAACTTAGAACCCGAGCAAAAATTATAATTTTAGCTGTTTCTTAGGGATTATAATAACCAAAACCTAAAAAATATTTCTAAGTACCCCTAAGTGAAGGCCCGCATGCCATCCAAAACATGTTGCGACCTGCGAGGTCTCTGAACACCCGCTCCAGGGGTTTAGGGTCTAGGGTTTAGGGAAGCCTCAAACTCCCTCAACCCAAAAATGCAAAGCCTCAGCTTCCCGGAAGCTGAAAATGCCAAACCACTTGCCTCTCCGACGAAATCCTTACACCTCAACTCTAAACCGAACTGTAAATTCTATACCCTTAGAAGCCCTAAACACTAAACCGTCAACACTACAGTGCTACAGATCCCTGAACCCTTAGCCCCAAGACCCCTAAAACCTAGACCCTTAGATCCCTGAGCCCGACAAGCATAGTGTAGGGGCCTCAATGATTAGAATAGGCTTTTGGAGTATATTACACTATAACGAGGAACCCCCAAAACAGTAGAGGTAATTTTCAAGGCCCCTATACGATAGAGCCCTTATCGTAAAGCGAATAGATCCCCGTTTGAGGAACCCTTTAAAGGAACCCTATAGTCTAATTATTATTAGCCCCCATACTACATGCGTTCTTGCCACGGATGCCTGGAGCTAGCTTGGCGGTGTCAGGTGCCTGGCTTCTGAAGCACTCCAGAGGATACGGGTCTAGGGCTGCTTAGGGCTTTGTTAGGGTTATTAGAGTGTAGGGTTTAGGGTTTAGGGCTTTAGGGTTTTGTGGTTTAGGGTTAAGGGTTTAAGGTTTCTTAGGGTTGAGGGTTTAGGGTTTAGGGTTTTATGGTTTAGGGTTAAGGGTTTAAGGTTTCTTAGGGTTGAGGGTTTAGGGTTATGGGTCTTGGGCCTATCGGGCTCTGGGCTTGAAAGGCCTTAGGGCTCCGGATATTTCAGGCTTGCCAGAGTAGGATGACGGGACCTTAGGGGTGTCGGATGTGTGTGCCGGATCGCTGGACAATTCGGCTCCTACAGTATCCGAAAATACGTCTGCAGTAGCCTTGGCCCTGTATGGGTAGCACATCCGAAACCCCGTTGGTCTCAGGCTGATCTTCTTGTAGCGCTGGTCGTCTCGAAGACTTCAAAAGCCGAAACAGCGCAAACCTTAACACACAGAATCGGTTTTTGGGGGTATGTATTTTGATGCTGTAGTCATATATTCACTGTAAAACCCCAAAACCAGCTAGAAGCAATCATGGCCATCAGGATGCCACTTCTGATTCTGGGGCAAGCGTCAACCCCCACTGTCAAACCTCCTCTTCCCTAAACCTTAAACCCTACGCCCTAAATTTTGGTAAGCCTGCAGAGCCCTAAGAAGCTCTTACAAGCCGTTTGAAGGCCAAACATACTGCAAGAGCCCATAAACACCAAAGACCTGGCCCCTTCAAC